CGGCCCGGGCGGGGCCTCAAGCCTGTTTGCGGGCGCAGCCCCGGCAAAACTTCGAGCGTATTTGTGGGCTTTCAAGAGTGAAACCAGAGCACGGTGTTTCTTCAGGATTATGGACTTGTCGTTTTCTTGCTGGTAAGGCTTTCACACAGTGTCCTAGCCCAGCTTGAGTTCGGGACTTGATGGCCCAACTGTTCCGCTTAATGCATTTGCATTTGGATGCCAAATGGTGCAACACTCGGACAATGCGCGCTTCTTGATAATGTCGTGTTTTGTTGCTACGGGCGCCCTTTCAAGTCGCAGGAAGCATGGCTTTAGGGGTGGAGTTGTCAGACTTTTGGGGGTGGAGTTAAGGCTGCCCGTTCTTTTTATTTCTGAAAGCCGAATTCAATTATCAAGACAGCTGGGCTGCCCTTGCAGGAAACGGCGAGTACTGTAGGAGAAGCGCGTTGGCAAGCGTAATGCGAAGAGTCCTGGCTGACACGGCCAAACGAGGCGCAAGAGAATCTGGCGTGTGCTAACTGTATGGCTTCCGCAAGTGACACCTTTGCGTGGCATCCGCGTTCGCCCCGAGCGGGATTGGCTTCGCTTGCCTTTGCTCTTGCCGTTGCGCGGCACCCGTGCTCGGGCCGAGCGGGATCCCGAGCGGGCTACGCCTGCGCGCTGCATCCATAGTTGGCCTGAGTGGATTCCCGAGCGTGGCTGCGTTGGTCCTTACCTGCACCTTGGCACGGCGCACGTGTTTGGTCCGAGCGGGATCCCGAGCGTGTCTGCTTTGCTTTGGTCCTTACCAGCGCCTTTGCGCGGCGTCTGTGCTCGGCCCGAGCGGGATCCCAAGCCTGTTTGCGGGCGCGGCCCCGGCAAAACTTGTGGGCTTTCAAGAGTAAAGCTAGGGCACTGTGTTTCTTCATGATTTTGAACTTGTCTTTGTCTTGCGGGTAAAGCTTGTACACGGTGCCCAAGTCAGCTTCACTTCGAAACTTGGTGGCCCAACGGCTTTGCTACGATAATGTGTTTGCGTTTGGACGCAAAACTCGGACAATGCAAGCTTATTGATAGTGTCGTTTTATTCTACGGGCGCCTAAGTTGCAGGAAGCATTGCTTTAGGGTTGGAGTTGCCAGGCTTTCAGGGGTGGAGTTGCCAGGCTTTTAGGGGCCCGTTGTTTGTGAATCCCAAAGCCAAATTCAATTATCAAGACAGTTGGGCTGCCGTTGCAGGAAACGGCAAATACTGTAGGAGAAGCGCGGTTGCATCCTGGCTGGCTGACACGGCCAAGCAAGGTGCAAGAGGGTCTGGCGTGTGCTAACTGTATGGCTTCCGCAAGAGGGTCTGAGGCCTTTGCGTGGCATCTGCGTTCGGCCCGAGCGGGATCCGAGCGGGATTCCGAGCGTGGCTTCGCTTGCCTTTGCTTGTGCCCTTGCGTGGCACCCGTGCTCGGCCCGAGCAGAAACTCGAACGCGGTTGCTCTTCCATTTGCTGACGCCTGTTGCGTGGCATCCGTGTCGCCCCAAGCGGGAGCCCGAGCGTTTGTACGTTTGCCTGCCAAAGTGTACTTTGTCTATTACACTTGTACTGACAAGTTGCGACCATTGAGCTGGAGCTGCCAAAGTGTATTTCCTTACTACACTTGTACTGAAAAGTTGCGACTTTTGTGCCGGAGCTGCCAAAGTGCGTTTCCTTTACTACACATGTGCTGAAAAGTTGTGACTTTCGAGGCGGAGCTGCCAAAGTGTACTTCCTTTACTACACTTGCACTGACAAGTTGCGACCTTCGAGCCGGAGCTGCAAAAGTGTATCTCCTTGTGCTGAAAAGTTGCGACTTTCGAGCCAGAGCTGCCAAGGTGTATTTCCGTTACTGCACTTGTACTGACAAGTTGCGACCTTCGAGCCGGAGCTGCCAAAGTTTCCTTGTACTGAAAAGTTGCGACTTTCGAGCCGGAGCTGCCAAAGTGTATTTCCTTTACTGCACTTGTAGTGAAAAGTTGCGACTTGCGAGCCGGAGCTGCACTGCTGGATTTCCACACGTCAACGCGGTAGAATTTGGCACCTGGCAATCCATTTGTATGTTGGCAAACTCTTGTCTTTCACCCTGACAAGTCGTGGGACACAAAAGAGCCACGGACAAAACACGTAGACCACTTTGGTAAAGGGGGTACTCTTTGGCCTACGACTCCAAAAAGCCACGGACAACGATACGGTCTCCCCCAAAAACGATAACCGTTAGTTAACACGTGGCTCTACAATGACCCCTGCAGTTGCAGCTTAGTTGGGGTGGGACCCTTGCGTGGCCGCAGTAAAACGCTAAGGCGAGTCGCGACTTGTGTTCTTCGCGCGTGCTCGGCTTGCGCTACAAAGTTGCGATTTTCGCGCTGGAGCTGCGGAAGTGCACTTCGCGTACTAGACTTGCACTACAAAGTTGCGATTTGGAAGTGTGCTTCGCGTACTAGACTTGTGCTACAAAGTTGCGATTTTCGAGCTGGAGCTGCGGAAGTGTGCTTCGCGTACTAGACTTGTACTGCAAAGTTGCGATTTTTGAGCTGGAGCTGCGGAAGTGTACTTCGCACACAGACTTGTACCACAAAGTTGCGATTTTCGAGCTGGAGCTGCAGAAGTGGGCTTCGCGCACTAGACTTGCACTACGATTTTCGAGCTGGAGCTGCGGAAGTGCACTTCGCGTGCTAGACTTGTGTGCTACAAAGTTGGGATTTTCGATCTGGAGCTGCGGAAGTGTACTTCGCGTAGCTAGACTTGTGCTACAAAGTTGCGATTTTCGAGCCGGAGCTGCCAAAGTTCGAAAACACTGTAACACAATAATAACGTTCAACAAAGTACTAGGGCCAAGTAAAGCATCACCTATCCACGCCAGCTCCATGTAAGCCAGTCCACCGCACACCCTTCCTCCAACATAGGCTCACTGGGTTCTGCAAGTTTCTACGCTTAGTGAAGATTTGACACGTGTGCTTCCATGAACATTCGAGAAAGCGTATGTAGCCCTTTGATGTTCTGTTCGCCTGCCCAAAGCCAGAGAGCCCCATGTGCGACCTGTTGACCGCTGTTTTGGGTTTCAGGGTGTGGCAGGTGTGTGCTAACTGTTCAGGGTTGACGGGGCATTCTGGCCAACACAGTAATGTGCTATCTGCCTAGGAAAAAAAGTGCTAACTGATTGACACGCGCTATACTACACGTGTGAGGAAAAGTTGCGACTTTCAAGCTGGAGCTGCCGAAGTGTACTTTCTTTACTACGCTTGTACTGGACTTTCGAGCCGGATCTGCCAAATCTACTTCCTTTGCTACACAAAGTTGCGATTTTCGAGTCGGAGCCGCCAACATGTACTTCCTTTACTACGCTTGTACTGAAAAGTTGCGACTTTCGAGCTGGATCTGCCAAATCTACTTCCTTTACTGCATTTGTACTGAAAAGTTGCGACTTTCGAGCCGGAGCTGCCAAGGCATACTTCCTTGTAGTGAAAACTTGAGACTTCCGGGCAGGAGCTGCCAATGCGTACTTCCTGTACTACACTTGTACTGAAAAGTTGAGACGTCCGGGCTGGAGCTGCCAATGCGTACTTCCTGTACTACAGTTATACTGAAAAGTTGCGGCTTTCGAGCCGGAGCTGCCAAAGTGTACTTCCTTTACTACACTTGTACTGAAAAGTTGCGACTTTTGAGACGGATCTGCCAAGTGTGCTTCCTTTACTACACTTGTACTGCATTGCGAAAGTTGCTCGTTTCAGAAAGCGTATCTCTGCCCACAACCAGAGAGGCATGTGCTAACTGTTGGTCGCCCCTTTCGGTTTCGGGGTGTGGCAGGTGTGTGCTAACTGTTCGGGGCTGACGGGGGCATTCCGGCCAACGCAGGGATGTGCTAACTGTGCCGCCTGCTAAAAAGTGCTAACTGATAGATACGCACTATAGTTATTTACCTATGTATTTATGTCTTATTTATTTGTTTATCTATTGATTTGCTTGGTTATCTATTTATTTATTTGTTTATTTATTCCTTCATTTATGTTTTATTTATTTATTGAAATTTATAAAACGTAGCTGTTGTTTAAAAAAATATATATTTATTTATGATTCAATCACTTATGCATCTATTTATTTAGTTGTTTCTTCATTTTATTCATTTATTGTGTTTTTGTGTTTTTGTGTTTTTCTTATTTATTCATATATTTATTAAATTTAGTTATTCAATCAATGTATGCATATGTATGCATGTATTTATTTATTTATGTATATATTAGATGATGTGGACATTCATCCCTGGCGAGTCGGCCCTTAACTTCCAAAATGTGGGCTAATTCCGGGAGCGTAAGAGGGTTTGTGGCCGCTTGGAATGGTCTTTGCATCGACCTGGCTATGAGAATGGTCTTTGCATCGACCTGGCTATGAGATTTCAATAGAAAGAGCCTCACACAGGGCTGTCTCAGTCCCGGACCCATGGCCATCACAGTCTCAAAAGGGAACCCCGAAAATGGCTTTGGTGTCCTCTTGGCTTCCCTAAGAAACTCAACCAATACCTCTTGGTTGGTTTTCAGGAGAAACCACAGCAACCCGACCCATGTTGTCTGTTGTGAAGTTCCTCCTATTTTAAGACACTGCCAGGTTGGTGTCCTTGAGAACTTCTCTCTAAAATCAACCTGACGAGGACTCCCTCCAAAAGAGCAACCTTTTCTTAAAAAGGCAACCCCTCAAAATGGTTGATGGACACAAATCCCAATGTAAATGATGTCCACCAAGGGTCCCTTGGGTCTTCGGCCAAGTTATTATTAGCCTAGGTCCCCAATTGGAACCGGCCATCCCTGTCATGTGGGTTCACCACTTGGCAACGAACATGCAACATACTCAAAATGCACACCTCATATGGATGTGGGCCAAAATGGAACCCTGGTAAAAATAACAAGGACGAAAACCTGCGCTCCCCTGGTGATCTAGTTTTGACCCGTACCCATATCCCAAGTCACCAACTTGGCAGAAAGGCGAAACCGAAACGCTCAACCGCCTGCAGGCCCGCTGCCCGCGCGCCGCAGAAGTCCGCCGCCAGGCCATCACCCACGTGCAAAATCTCCTCGTCGCGTGCGGGGGAGGGGGGCGGGGGAGTCCTCAATTCCACTTAGGTCTTCCCACAAAAGGGAAGTGGGGTTACCATAAATGAAATGCCAGGGATCGAAATTCCCCGCTCCCCCAACTCCTCAGGGACAAGGCTCTAAAATGGGGGACCCCCAAAAATGGATCCATTTTCCTTTTCGCGTCCCTGCAGACCAACCCCCAAGAAGGACACACCCATTTGGGCTGGGTTTTTCAGTTGCCTGAAAATGTTCTCGTGTCCCAAAGCCTATCCCCCGAACTGCGCGTACCGCTCGGCTGATAGACACCGTCGGTTCGCACGGGAACTTGGTGAGCCCCTGTGCCTGTTGGTAGTTTGCGGCTCGTGTGCCCCATGTGATATTGATTGATGGCAGGAAATTCTGACCATTGCTCAATTTTGTCTTTTGATGTCAAAGGCGTTGTAAAATGCTGAACCAGTTTGATTTTGCGCTGGGTCGTGTTCATTCTTGGGCTCGTCAGAACAAGCTATCGAGGCCGGAATTGTTGAATAGTTCTTTTGTGGGGTGATGTTTGCGGTGTCACTTAGATGGCTTTGGGAGGAATCGCTCAGGTGGCTTTGCCCTCTGTTCACCCAACAGACCCTCAGCCTAGCCCTCACCAAAAAAGCGGCCCCTCAGGACGGTGCAGGGGCCACTCGATGTTGCCCCCCAGGCCAACCCAACCATTTTCAGGCCTACTGACATCTAAAGGTGTTTACGTGTAGATGTCATGTTGGTTCTGGGCACCACTGAACGAAGACAACAACTTTCGATATTTGCTTGTTTTTCCAGAACTCTCAAAAAAGGCGCTTCTTTTGGTTTAATGTTGGCATTGGTGGTACTTTCAGATGTTGCAAAGCCTCACTTTGTCACAGGGTGACAGGTGTCAAAACTGGATTTTGAGAAAAAAGTGACAAAGACTGTCTGCTGGTGCAAAGGCCAAAAGGGGGGGTGGGGGGGGGGGGGGCAAAAGGTGGCAAGTCCAAGCCCGAGCCCAAGTTCATGTTGGATTTTTCCAGGCTACAAACCGAGTGATGACCCATCAAAAACTGGAGTCGCCCTCCCCTTTCCGTGATACCTGTGACCAGTTTGTCCATCCCAAAGAAATAGCCACCGAAAGGTGTTCCAACACCCAAAACCCAAAACCCCCCACAGCCCCCACAGCCCCCACAGCCCAGACAGCAGGGCATGTTGGGTAACTGGGTGATTTTGTTGGTTTCCTGGGATTCTAGGTTGCCCAACCCCCCACAACCCCCACAGCCCAGACAGCAGGACATGTTGGGTTAACTGGGTGAATTTTTGGGGCTCCGTGGGATAGGTTGCCCTTCCTTGGCTCATAGCCATCCTCAATGGAGCACTCATCCGACAGAACCGGCTCCTCGCGTTTGACCCCCTCCACCCAGAAGCTCGCCTCCGCCATTCCAACGCGCAGCAAGCATCGCAAGCATCGCAAGCCCCAGACAAATGAGTTGCCTGGGTTGGCACTCCTTCTGGCTTGTCTTGCAAATGAAAGAAATTTCAATGGGTTGGGTTCCTTCTCTCTTGACTTTCTTTCAAAGCAAGCTAAAGGGGGCTTCCATGGCTGGTGGGACACGTTGACACTCCAGTCGCTTCTGAATGTTCAGGTTGGGAAAACGACAATCCCCACCAAGGGTGCGTGCCTTTTTGTGAGGTGACCCTGTTTTATTTCCCCTTTGCACACCAGCGGAGCTCACAAAAAAATAGACAAAATTACATTTATAAAAAAAAGGCACCCCTCTGTGACGGTTTTTCCTCCGGCCCACTTTTGGGTCTTCGGCTCCCCTCCGCCTCGCGGTAGGTCTCCACGAAGATCCAGGGCTCCGGCTTCTGGTAGCCCACCTCCTGGGAGCTCACGAACCACCTCAGCGAAAAGTGGCGCTCAATTTTTTTGCACCAATCAGACTGGGCCTAAGAAAGAGGCTGACTGGCCCATATTTTTGGCGCGCGTCAAAATACAGGGGACCAAAAAAGAACAGGCGGGATTTGTTCCTGGGCTTTTTTCCCCCTTGAACCAACCTAAAATGGGTAGTTATATATGGGGTTGGGTTAGTCACCACCAGGAATTGGACCACAGGCTTTAGTCCTTGGTAACCCATTTACCAGGGCAAGCCATTTTGGGGTTACACCATTTTGACGCACAGCTTGCGATCGGATTCGCGAAATTGCGATCGGAATGAGAGATGGCTGTGGCTCGAAAAATGGAAACCCAAAATAGCTCCTTGGTCCTTGGAAGCACGACAAAATTCTGCGTAACCCCAGCTGCTTCATTCTGAGCCACACCCAAATGGAATGACCCATCAACCCAGTGGAGGTTTGAGAAATCGAGACGGGCCCCGAAGCTGGTGGCGTTTGCGCGATCCTTTCAAATGTCTCCAATTAGCGAAGGGTTCCAGA